AACAAATTGTGACTTATGAATTTTTTGAATTGTGACCTAAAAAATTTCGAATTGTGACCAAATTGTATAGATTTGTGACCGTTATATATTTATTAATAAAACATATTATTAATTAAGTAATTCATAAATAAATTTAAATAAAAACCTGATTTTTGAAATATAAAACATCTAACCTTAATTTTGAAATATGTATAAGTAAAAGTAGGGTTTATGTATTCTTCCCATATGGAATTAGGTAAAAAGGAAGCCAACCGTTCAAACTGGATGCATGCCATTTTGGAGCATGGGCTCTCGATTTTACTTCAAAACTCGTTGATTATATTTTGAAACATCGTAGAATTTTGACCAAGTTAAACGAGCAAGGTATTGAGTTTTGCTATCTCATTTAGACGAATTGAATAGAACTCACGAGACAAAATCGTAAATCATCATAGTAAGAACTTTATATCAACCTTCGTGTTCAAAGATAGTAATAGTGTGTCTTTATTCATTTTTATGATCATACATGGGAATATAAATTCAAATGGACATGAAATTAATTTAAACGGAGTCCAACCATTTGAAATGGCTACAAGCCGTTTTGGAGTATGAGCTCTCGATTTCACTTCAAAATCCGTCAATCATATTTTAAAATATCATATAAGATTTAAATAAACTAAACGAGATAAGTGGTGAATTTCACTATCCCATCTAGACAATTTAATAGAATTTGAATTAACTTCATTTCTAGTCTAGTATAGTTTACTCACGAGACAAACGTATAGTGATAATAGCGTGAACTTTATATCGAGACAAAAGTATTAGCGTGAACTTTATATCGAGACAAAAGTATTAGTCATAATAGCGTGTACTTTATATTGATCGTGGTGTCAACGGTAGTGAAAATGGGTTCATTCATTTTTATAATCATAAGAGGGAATATAAAGTCAAATTGACACGGAAATAGTTAAAATGATATCCAACCATTTGATTCGACTACATGCCGTTTTGGAGCACGGGCTCTCAAATTCACTTCAAAACGCCTCAATTATATTTTAAAATATCGTAGAAGACTTAAATAAGTTAAACGAATTAAAGTACTGAGTTGCGTTATCTCATCTAGATGAATTTATACAAATTTAGTTAATTTGTTCTTAGTGTAGTCTAGTTATTCACGAGATACACATGTTGATCGTTACATTGTGAATTTTTTATTGATCGTGGTGTTCAAAAGATTGCACGTCTAATTTGCAAAATAAACATCAACAATACCATTAACAATTTAAAGATTGCACCCACCTACAAAAAAACGACACCCAACTACAGAAAACGACTTCCGGCTTCATAAAAGCAGCATCATTCTATTTTTATATTGTACTACTTATTTTGCTCACCCAATTGATTTTTTTATATTCTTGAGGTAGAATGCAACTGAAAAATAATGAAAAATCATAATTTTCAACTTATAAAGTGTGGATAAATCTACTTGTACATCAAAAGATGTACATTAAGGTCTACACCCCCTCACATGGGGGTGGGACCCACCTCTATAAAATATTTTTTTATTAGAGTGGGCCCCACCTCCATGTGAGAGGGGTGTACACCCCGATGTACACGGTGATGTACCCCTAGCAAAGCCGATAAAGTATACCTTCAAGATTATCTATCATTCTTTGTTAATGGAAATCAATTTGCACCCTTTGATTTTTTATTTATTTTATTTTTTTTTGTTGAATTATTGTCAATTTGAAAATGTAATCATTTAATGCGACGAGTTTTTTTGGGATAATGCATTGAAAGAAGAAATTAGGGTCGACTGAGTTTTGAATGTGTATTGTGAAGAAAAATGAAAATAGAGTGAAATTGGGGGTTTGGGGATTAGTTCAATTTTTAACATTGATTTTAAATTGAACATTTTAAACATTTCAAGTAAAGAATATTTGAAACTTTTAACAGATAATAATTTATTGTATAGGCTCTTTAACGAAAAACTATTGAGAATAGGCCTTTTAAACAAAAATCTGGTTGACTATACACTCTTTCGTCTTTACTACTTACATCCTACACTTAGCACCACAACAAAACAAAGCACTACTAATTTCTGAATCTTTATATAAAAAAATTAGAATAATGTTAGATGTACACTCCTTGTTGACATTTGATGTCATGTTAAAAAATGATTGGAGGAAAAAATGTTTAATTTTAAACTGCCCAATGATATATTGTTACGTGACACAATGTAGCATGTTTGAAAAATTTAAGTTCTACATTTATGTGTATGAATATATAGAATAAGTAGGTAGGTTAATTCATTGGTAAATTAATTATATACAAAGCCATTTGCTTTATGATCTAATGTTATTTGAGAATAAGATTCCATTTTTCATCATTGATCGTCTGTTGAACATGATCAAGATCAATAATGGAGACTACATCGATTTTCTAATATGGCCTTTATTACAAAGTGGCATTTTCCCAGTGAAGTCCCTATTAATGGTCACCATCTTCTTGGCATTGTACACGGCATCCAATGTTCATCATTTGCAAAAATATTATCTCATATGGATTCTGGAGATCCTGATTACGTGGCGAATATAAATATTTTTTATTTTTTTAAGACTTGCTAGTTTATTTAAGTAAACTTTTCGATTACAAAGTAGTTCTAAATAAAAAGTAACTTATTTCAACTTTTGAAAGAGAAGGTTTTGGTACCAAAAACTAAATAGTGAATGTCTATATAATTCGAGAGTATACAGATTAAGATACTTAAGTCGGGTCACGATTCTTATTAGGACTTAGTAAAAATGAACATTTTACATTGGTTTAACTTTTTATAATTGATTTAGTGAATCATTCGTTGTATCAAATGACCAAGATTTGAATGTTCTTCTTAGTTCAAAATAATGTTTATATTTGAATTAATTAATTTAATTTTTAAAGCCATTGCACCCCTGTTTCAGCTCAGTTTTTGTGAGAAAATATATTTGAAATAGTGTGATTAAAAATAAAAAATAAAAATCGATTTACATATAAAATTATTTAATGGAGTAATATGTGATTGAAAATAAATTTTTGAATAACAAATTATAGTCAAAACACACAAAAACCGAGTTTCGTATATCATCATTTTATTTATTGTTTAAAAAGGATAAGTGCCATTTAAATAAGTTTAAAATGTTATAATATTGTTAAACAGTGGAGACTTGACTAATTTGCAAAATATACATCGACAATACCCTTAACAATGCACCCAACTACGGAAAACGACATCCAGCTTTTGCGTTGCCTTGGTATCGGTGTCCTTTGGCTGGGGAAGGAATCTTTCCTTATCTTTTCTCTCTTCTATTTTGAGTTCGAAACGGTATCATTCTATTTTGAATAATGAGGACAATTTGGATAAATAATTACTA